ATAATTTGTTAATATTGGAAATTTATTATTGAACCGCTGTAGTATCTCATAATCAACCAGTCATAAATGTCCCGCAAACGCACCAGTTTTTAATCGCTGTACCAGTCGTACAAATCGCCTAATAACGCTAGAAACCGCAACCACCCACATCCGCAAACTCCCGCAACCGCAATCGCAACCGCCGCGTTTCAACCAGTCAAACCCTCATTATATCACCTTCCCAGATATAAACCATATACTATATTATTATTCATCATCATGATCTGCTGATGACTATATAACTATATTATTATTCATATAACTATATTATTATTCATCATCATGATCTGCTGATGGTGGATCCAATCCATGTATTATTATTATTCATCATCATGAACATTTTGGAATCTTAGCGGTTCATTCAATACTTATGAGCATAACACCAAAAATCTGAAAATCCGAATCACCCGCATCGAAACCGAATAGCATCGAACGCCCATACCTATATCCAACATATATTTGTTTGACGTGTAAGTCATTTACTAAAGTTCAGGAATTTAACCGAAGCAAGAAACAAATATAAACACAACAATGACAATGTAGCAATAATATATACATGCATAGGTTCAATAGAAATTGTTCCCCGAATCCATTTGTAATATATACGGATTCCAGAGTTTGATGATGTTTTCAAGATTTATTTCCCTTTTGATATATACAAATAACAATGCAATTAGTGTGATTCATTTGGAGATTATGTTATCTTTCCTCTCCACGGTGGTTTGGTCTAAACGGTCATCATTAGTGTCGAGGTTGCTTTCTTGAACCCAAAACCCTAAGTTTTGGCCAGGACTTATATAGTTGCCTACATCTTTATCTTGATGATCATCATCACATGCCAAAGCGTCTTGTTGCTGTTTTTTCATTAAGGTCTAGAGAGACAACTTACACCCGGCGACATTGTCATCCTTCTTATCTTCCATAAGCTTTTGTCTGAGATTAGTTCTGTCTCTTCTGTGGATGTTCATATGCTCTCCTAGTGCTTTGAGCATTCGAGAAACCCCTTACGCAGAAACTGAATATGTAAGATCTTGACAGGGAATCATAACCGGTTTGATTAATGTTTCTCGATATGTTTCTAATAAAAAAACACTTCTGATAATATATATTACGTATATCTTTCGCTAACAAGAAACATTTTATACTTTCCTGATTCAGTGTTCTTATTGAGAATATTAGGGTAGATATATTAGTATAACATATACTCCCTCCATTCCTTAAAGATACATATTCTAGAAAAAAAATTTGTTTCTAAAAGATCTATTTTTTTACATTTTCAATGTATGTTTTATTAAATAATTGTAAATTTCAAAAAATTTAATTGCACTAATTGATTTTTGATTGGTTTAAAATTATAGAAAAAAATAAATACAAAAAACTATTTTATTGTGTTTTATTAAAAAATGTGCAAAAACTAGAATATTGATCTTTTAGGAACAGAGGGAATACAAAATTCACTAGAATAAATTAATAAGAATAATTGTAAGTGTGAATGTTGTTAAAGACCGTTTTTGTAGACTTGTTATTAATGTTTCTTTCTATTTGTTTTATAAACAAAATAACATATACGCATTCTGGCGTTTTCTTTTTGTCATTGCATAATCTATACTATTAAAGATAAATTACAAAAATGAAGTGTTTGGAAACATAAATAAGAAAATTTTAAAAGTTTGATTGGAAACATGGATAACATCAAATCTAATGGGCTTATTTATTAAATTAAATATTAATGCGGTCCAAAATACCATTATTATTGTTTTTGGGTTTTCTATCATTGATATTACTTTATATCTGAAAAATATTTATACATATATGTACTCGTGTTTTAAATGTATTTAAAATAAATCAAGAATAATATATATTTTATTTATATAATTTATATTGACTATTATTATAAGTTTTTTAACAGTGATATACTAGCCTTCCAATTATTCATTAAACAATTAACTTAAAAATTTGACTAAATTGTTTAGTATATATAACTTTGCACCATATTTAATCAAAAAATAAATTTTATAAATTATTATTAAAATGTTTACGGGTCACAATATTTTACCGACGCTCCTATTACACAATACAGTGATGAAAGACAATGTTTAAACAGTATACTATTACTTAGTAAACTTGGAACCATTAGATTGTAATTTTTGAAATATTTATATATACCATAAAACAAAGACCCACTTAATCGGACGGGTTATTATGTAGTTTAGTAGTTTAATACACAACACTACCGCCGTTCAAAAAAAAAAATACACAACACTACCTTTGTTTGATATTACTTATTAGCATTATTTTAGCATCCGCTTTTCCTGAAATTATCAACAATTATTCCATCATGGACATCTATCAATAGTGTATAAAAATATAACACAAATTAAAATATTCACCTAGTGATTAAAATTAAAAAAAAAAAATATTAGCAAAATTTACATTTCGATCAAAAAATAAAAGATGCATTTTGGGACTAAAACCAAAATACAATGATTTTCGACATTTTAGAGGAAATACGTTGTACATATACATTGTATGTACATATACTTACAAATATGTAGATACGTCTAGTGTATCTCTCAGTTAGCGTGTCATGTATTGTAAGTAAGGAGTAGGTAATCTGCATCCCGAGGATTAAAAGCTATACTAATTACTAACACACACATAATGTATGCATACGCAATTAAACTTTAAACCTCAGGATGCCGATTACCCGGTCCTCACCAATACTCGCCATATATCCCGGTTTTTAATGTTAAAAATGATCTCGTTTTAGGAGTTTTATGGTTTGTGGATTGTTCTTGTTATTTTGTTTTCGTTGTTGATAAGTTACTAGGAAACCTTCATAACTTATAAGCCTCTTGAGGCCAAATAGTAATGAAAGAAGATGCTTATTCGAAAGGTTTAATGCTATGAGAACATATGCTCTATTGAAATCTTTTCCGTTTTCATGTTTTATCTGCGTTGGTATGTCTTACTCTTAGCTCTGTTTCAATAAATATTAGAGCTCTAAACTTATGCGTTAGGATATACTAGGATCGATGTAGAATTTATCTTCTGTAATCTTTTATTTTTAACTGAAAATGGTTAAACCCGAGTCTATTAAAGACACAGACCTAACCTCTAAGTAGAGGTACAACCCACGAATAGACTCTCTCCTGAGTATTCAAATGGGTCTAAAGTAATAATCCATATTCGTATGGCCACAAAGTGAAATGTAATGGGGTGCTTTCGAACCCAAGTTCTCCCGAAGCTTCCCTACCAATATACCACCACCTTGTGATTTCCTCTGTAATCATTATAGAGCTCTCTTTAAGTGAATAGCTATATTTGAGTGCTATGTGAGTTTCTTAGATCCAAACTCACATTTATTGTGGCATGCAATTACAACGTAAAAGTGTGGTTTCTAAGTTTGGATACGGAACGTAATCTTTATTTCTACCAAGACGAAACTAATAAATAACAGTCATTTGATTGCATACGTGATGTATTTTGGTTTAACCAAATGCAGTTTTTCTGTAAGTATTATTCAAAACTAAATCTCTACATAGGCTGATTTTTAATAATAAGTTAATAAATAGATAAGATGAGAGGTAGTCGAAAAATATAAAAAGGTGTATATGAGAGGTGGAAATGAACTTATTAAAAATTCTGAGTTTTGAATTCAAAACTAATTGAGAAGCCTACGTATCTTACATATTAATTATTTTGAATCCCTTCTTAGAAATGTGAGATTCATAACAAAACTCCTAATTAAGCAATGTAATGCGGAGGGAGCGTGACACATCAAATTATTAGAGAAAGGTTCTTTTTTTCTCTATGAGCCAATGATGGGAACTTAGGATTATGCTTTTGTCTAGACAAATGATATTCGACTTCTTTTGACTGTCTTTTCTTGCTTATTCCTGTTGTTTTTTGTATACTAAAGAGATCTTCTCTCGGATCATTTTTTATTTGTTTAGTTTGTATAGGGAACTCACTTTTTTTTTTTTTGGGGGGGGGGGGGTGGCTTTTAAAAATTCAGTGAAAATTTTCATGAAAATTTCCAACTGCTACACTCTGCTTCTTGGTGTTGTTATTTAATAATTGCATTCTAGTTCTTTTTTTTTTTTGAAAATAAAAATATAATTGCATCCTAGTTAGGGTTAGAGTTTAAAGTTTGTATGGGTCTCAAATAAACCATGACCTATCAGCCGCTGGAAAAGACTAATTTACCTTGTTCCTGGTCTCAAGTCTTTACTCACCAGGTTCCAATAAATTTTAATAAATCAGCCTGTTAGATATGAGGGGTTTCGTTCAAAAAAGATATGAGGGTTGATTGTGTTACAAAAAAAGATATGAGGGTTCATTAGTTGCTGTCAAATACTTCTATTAATGCTGAATTTTTTTCTTCAAATTAATTGTTTACATCTCTAACTTGAAAATCAACATTCGATAACAAGGAAAAAAGTTCTGCACTTACTATCTTAGGCACCTAAGATATTTGACAAACTGCTCTTGTGTTACTGATGAAGTGAGGAATTTGATATGTTATTTGATATCTACAATAATATTTATTTGAGAAATCTATACCAAAAAGATTTCTATTTAAGATTTTTATTTGTGAATTTCTTTTTTTTTTTGTAAACTTTTTTTTGTATTTAAAAATTAAATAGTAGTAAAAAGACTTGATGAAAGATTCTCTTGAGAAATTACCCATGGTGATACGCTTGATGGTCGTCTAGAGTTGCTCTTCTTTAATTCCACTATTTTGTATGCTTTGTCTAGTTCTTTCATGCAACTCTTATGAACTATATGACATAAAATCATACATTTTGGTGTTTAAAAAAAATCATACATTTTAATGTATTTCAATAGAAAAAAATTGTAACAAAGAAGATTACATGGGAATTTGGGTATTTTATTCCTCAACTATTTGAAATTAGCACATTTAATATCCATCTATTATTTGCGCAGTTTTATTCTCAAACTAATTGTTGATTGCACAAAATCGAATTTGAAATAGAGAATCATTAAAGTATAGGCGGAAAACTAAAGATTTTCGTCCAATTTTTTATGATTGACTATTTCAAATCCAATTTTACGCAGTCAACAATTAGTTTGAGAATAAATTTGCACAAACAATAGTTGAGTATTAAATGTGCTAATTTTAAATAGTTAGGGAATAAAAATATATAATTTTATTATGATCCATATGAGTTTACAAATAAAATATCAATCATTTAAAAAAAATTGAGTTAAAAAAGTTATCAAATTGGATGAAACTAATTAGAGATATTTACATAGAGAACATATAAATTATTATAAAACAAGTATATATGTTTATATTGCTAATGCTTAACATAGATTATCCAAAAGCAGAGGTCCATAACATTATATATAAGTGATCTTACTTTATTTTTTGTTGATTTTAAAGATAAATAATATTCAAATATGTGAAAACTTATACCACATACATATAAGTAGTGCAAAAATATCTAATATTACCATCGTTAGATATAACATTTGTGTATCTTATGTTTGTAAGAACACCGAAAGATGGGTTTGGATATTTATTTTAGATAAATGTATGTGGTACATAAGATATACATTACATATATATTTGTCTTGTAATAAGTAATATGTCAATACAAACTTAAAAATATGTTAATGGATTTCTCAAATAAACATTACAAAGACATCTACAAAAAGGTTTCTTATAAGGGTATATTGGGTTAATGTAGCTTGATAAATGTTCTTAACTCGAATTTTAAGAAATTGATTGATATTTTAATTATAAACTCATATTAATCATGAAAATACAATTTTTTATTCTCTAACTATTTGAAATCAGTAAATTTAATATTCAAGTATTTTTTGCGTAAAACTATTCTCGAACTAATTGTTGACTGCATAAAATTGGATTTGAAGTATTTTAACCATTAAATATTAGACGGAAAATCGTTAATTTCCCGTTATATTTTAACAATTGACTATTTCAAGTCCAGTTTTACGCAATCAAAAATTAGTTCAGAAATTAATTTGTGCAAACAATAGTTCGGTACTAAATGTGCTAAAAACAAAAGAGTACTAAAGATTACATAGTTCAGGCCCAAGGCCTACTGATAGTCCATCCTGATATAAGCTTTAGGAAATTATTTAGGTCAGACAAAGGAAACTATTTTGAACAAGACAAAGGAAATAAATTGAACCAGACAATGATTGAGTTTGTAAGAGCACCCCCATCAGTGAACCGATGGGCAGCACCCCCATCAGTGAACCGATAGGCGGAGGTTCGTAAGAAGAAAAAAATTAATTTTTTTTTTCGTTTGCTTTAAAAAAAAAATAATAATAATGGACCAATCGCGGGCCGCCACGTGGCGTGGGGCCCACGAAACAGTGTTGATACGGGTTCATTCTGGTGATACCCGCAAGAAAAGGTTCATAAGTTTTATTATATATTTTTTTTCTTGGATTTTGTGTAAAGCCTCCCATTGAACCTTCGCTTTGATTGTTGATAAAGGAATCTGATTATCTGAACTTGCTTACAAAACTTAGTCAATGAGTAAATCTCGAAGGTCCCATGTATACAATAATTCCCTTCTATCTGGATCATGTAGTTCTTGCATGACACATTGACACGTGATAGGATGGAAAGTTGCACCAAAATACTTCAAAGTTATTCTGAATCGGAGCTCCAGCCACTCTTCTTTTGTATTAAATTCTGAAGAATATGGTCCGTCGAGAAACGAACCAAAAACTTAACTACATGGACCGAAGCAATTTTCTACGTAGGACCGTAGGACTCCGTTTTTTTATTAAAGATTAGTGTGAAATAGGATACCCCAAGTTAGTAAAAAGAAGAAAAAACCATTTGCATAGAAAAAACCTAGTCGTTATGAAATTTCTTACAAAACAAAACCAATAACTCAAAACTCAACTAACATTTTACAAATTATTTTCATTATATATATATATAATTTAAATATTTACAAAAGAAAAAAAAAACAGAACGACTGAATAAGATTAAGTGGTAGTATTATTGTTATTCTTGTTGCTCATTATAAACACGGCAAATGTAAATAATATGCCTTGAGAATTTGAAAACAAATTATAGAGTCACCCTCTATTGTTGTACTAAAAAATCTTCATGTTAAATATAAATGGTCTTAAGGACCATTATCAATCATATTAATTACACTACGACGTGGAAACTGTATTTGTTTCGGAGTTGCACCTGAAATATTTAGTCACATGTTAATAGATGTTGCACGTTAGACACGCGGGATATTATATGTTCTTAAACTCTGAAAAACTAAATTAGTGAACAACGACACAGGTTATGCGGTGAATCATCCTATATAAAGTAATAATCAAAGAGATCGTGCGATGAATCCTCCTATATAAAAAGAATAACCAAATAGATCGTGCGATGAATCATCCTACTGTAATATTACTTTGGTGTTTGGTCAACTTTTGAGACAGGGAAAAAAATAGCTAGACCTAAACCGGGAGTAGCCAAACAAGGTGTATTGATGGTTTGTATACTTCTCCCTTAGGTAATCAAACTGAAAATATTTTATATCTTAAAACTCTATATTTTTTCTGTTAAATAAAATTGATTTCTATTACATTTTATTCTTTTTAAATAATGTTTATGCCGAAAACCAACTCTATGTCTACTAAATAGGTTTAGTCTTTATTTCTTTCTTTCCAAATGTCACTTGAAATAGAAGTTTAAAGATCCCGTTGAGTACAGGTTGATTAGTGTTGATATATAAAATATATTTATTTCTGTCACTCGTTTACGAACTAACAAATAAAAAACACACGATATGATCCACTTATCAATCAAGATTTAATCGAAACTCGATCTTGATCTACTGAGTACAAAATTCAAAGATGCTTAACGGGGCTAGTTGGCATACTAAAATAACAATAACATAAATTAAGAGATCAATAAGTAAATGGAAATAAACCTTTCGTCAAAAAAAAACAAGTGAATGGAAATCCCTATATAAAGAGTCCCACTTAGATGTAAAAGAACCATCCTAAACTTCTTTCTCGAAGAAAACAAACACAGCTAAAAGCAACAAAAAAATGACTTGGCACAAAGTTCCTATCATAGGGCTGCTTTTGCTCCTAACCATTGTTGTCTCTCCGGCAACAGCTGCCGGACCTGTTTGCCCTCCGTCCACCAAACTTAGCCGAGCAAGTTTCCCTGAGGGTTTCATATTTGGCACGGCTACTGCAGCATTTCAGGTACGATAGAGAAGTTTCCATGAGTATTTCTTGTAACGTAAGAAAAGTTTCCATGTGTTATTTACACCTAAAAAATCTTATCCTTTATGTTGTAATGTAGATCATGCATACTAACTTCATTCAATCTAAAGCCTTTTATTTACAAGACCATCATGACTGAAAATCATGTTTATCATTTTCAAAAAATAGAATACTATTAAATATCAAACATTTAATACTATATGTAAATAAGTGTGTATCATATATCATACTTTAAAAACAGCATTCTATTTTAATTTAATATAAATATTCGAAAACTATAGTCCATTTTTTTCATTATTTACTAGTTATCGTAAAAGTTGGTATCTTAATGAACATGATATCATTTTCAAACCTATAAACTCATTTCGTTGTGCCATTTATAAGATTGAAGGTGGAGTGAATGAAACATGTCGTGGACCGGCCTTATGGGATATCTACTGTAAGAGATATCCAGGTTAGTGCCTCTACATTCTGTTTTCTTATCTCGTATAGGCTTACATTTTTATGTAATTAACTGATCTGGAAACTTTAAATCACAGAGAGATGCAATGGCGATAATGGTGATGTGGCCGTTGACTTCTTCCACCGTTATAAGGTACATAAATACATGAAAAATTTAGTTGGTACGAACGTTTACTTTGAAAAAAATATATCCAAAGTATATATTATTTCTGTTGGTCACTGCTGTAAATACTAAATGTTGAAAATTTTGGCTTCTTTTAAAAATGTTTGTACGTATACAGGAAGATATTCAGCTAATGAAGAACCTAAACACAGATGCCTTCAGACTCTCTATCGCGTGGACAAGAATATTTCCTCGTGAGTATATATGTGCTTTCGACCACAAATTTAATTTCGTCTAGTTAAATGAATTGGTTTGCATGTAAAATATGATGGTTAGAAAAAATATTGACGAAACAAAACAAATGTTTTACCAGATGGGAGAAAGGAGAAAGGAATTAGTCAAGCTGGTGTCAAATTCTACCACGATGTCATCGATGAGCTCATTAGAAATGGTAACATGTAGTTTAAATCATATCTTATTTGGGTGAACCATATAAACATAGAGAGCGCAAGACAAATACTAATTAGTTACCTTCTTAATTATTATCTAACAAATATATACATTTTTATGTAATATAGGAATAGTTCCGTTTGTGACTGTTTTTCACTGGGACACTCCACAAGATTTAGAAGACGAATATGGTGGTTTTCTAAGTGAGAGGATTGTGTAAGTCAACGAATATTAATCTATATATTGAGGCAACTGTCAACAAGTAACATGATAAATTAAATTGCTCATTATTTTTTTTTTAAATGCAGGAAGGATTTCCGGGAATATGCAGACTTTGTTTTCCAAGAATACGGTGGAAAAGTGAAACATTGGATCACTTTCAACGAGCCATGGGTTTTCTCTCATGCCGGTTATGACATAGGCAAGAAGGCACCAGGACGTTGCTCTTCCTATGTAGATTCAACGTGCAAAGGGGGACGATCAGGATTCGAGGCTTACCTTGTCAGTCATAACCTCCTTAACGCTCATGCAGAAGCCTTTGAAGCTTTCACACAATGCCAAAAGGTAATTTTTGTATACAAATCATAGGAAAAAAATATTTCAAACTAATTTTTTTTACCTACCATTGTTGTTTTTTAAGATACAAATTAGTTTTGTGTTTCTAATATATTAACTTTATATATATATGGCCACAGTGTAAAGGTGGCAAGGTCGGAATCGCACATAGTCCGGCTTGGTTCGAGCCACATGACTTTCATGATGCACAAGATGGTGCATCCATAAACCGTGCACTTGACTTTATGTTGGGATGGTAAGCATGCAATTGATGGTATTGCAATTTTTAAAAATAGGTGCTTATATATATAGAAATTTCTTTTAATGAAACTTTCCTATTTTCACTAGGCATTTGGAAACTACTATGTACGGAGACTATCCACAGATCATGAAAGACATTGTTGGACACAGATTGCCCCAGTTTACTACTGAGCAGAAAGCAAAACTGAAAAACTCCGCTCATTTCGTAGGCCTCAACTACTACTCGTCGATATTTTCGAACCATATCGAGAATCCAGATCATTCTAAGCCAGTATGGAAGCAAGATTCTCTTATTTCTTGGCAACGTAAGTGTTTACTTCTCTCCTAAACTTTAAATTGCTATGGCAACACATCAAACCTATAGGTTTGTATTTGGTACTGATAAAAAAATTGATCTTCTTTTCAGCTAAGAATGCAGACAAATTTTTCATTGGTAGCATGGTATGGATTTAATAACTAAAATAAAAATTTGGATTAAACTTATATATTTGTGTCGGCTATAATGTAATTAATACTTTCACCTCTGTTATATTTCAGCCTTCCACCGCTAAGCTACCCGTTTACGCAAGAGGTTTGAGAAGTCTTTTGAAGTACATCAAGGATAAATATGCAAACCCTGAAATTATGATCATGGAAAATGGTAAGTGGATATTCTCTCATATCATCATCGTTAGCTCTCTTTTTTTTCTTCATTAGGTTTCAAAAACAAATATTAAATAGAATAATCTTCTTAATTAGGATATGGAGAAGACCTTGGGGAAACCGATTCAGTTGCAGTTGGTACTGCTGATCACAACCGAAAATATTATCTTCAGAGGCATCTTTTGAGTATGAATGAAGCTATTTGGTAAGTCTTATTTATTTTGCTTATATGATATGAGTAACGATTATATCGAAGAATCTAATCAAAACATATTATGGCAAAACTGCAGCATCGACAAAGTGAATGTTACAGGATACTTTATATGGTCGTTGTTGGACAACTTCGAGTGGAATGAAGGTTACAAGAGCAGATTCGGACTCTACTACATTGATTTCAATAACAACCTCACACGAATTGAGAAAGAATCTGGAAAGTATTACAAAGACTTCCTAAGTCAAGGTGTTCGTCCATCTGCGATCAAGAGAGATGAACTTTGATCTCCATCTTCTTGAGGATTTCGTTTTCTTTTCAGTGTTTCGAGCTCTTCTGTTTAGTTCTGTTTTAGTTTGTGATTGACCAAGATTCATGAGGTCTTGGTTAGAATAAATGTGTTTTTTCTTTTTTTTATCTCTCAATGTCTACACCTGATTTGAAAAGCTCAAAATTAAAGGGCATAGAGTTATAATAAAATTGAAAAAGTTGTGTTTTATGTCAAGTTACATGTTTATACCTTCTATTAAAGCATGAAGAAAAAAAATACCATTATATGATAGACTAATAGAAAAGTTATAAAGTTATGATTCAAAATGACAAAGACCTAAATGTCAACGCTCTAGAATGAAAATACGAATGTACCAAATAAAAGCATATAGAAATGGATAAGATAATATGATTATACCTCGTTTAAAAGACTAGAAGCATGCATATGTTGAATGAAAAAAGATTCAAGAGTTACGATTTATGCTCTAATCATTTGTTGTAAAATGCTATCGAAAATCTGTTATGTGAATGTTTTTATCAATGACAAGTAGAGATGCTTTGATGGGAACCAAAAAAATTGCATGCATTTCGTAACCTTAATCAAAAAAGTTCTGTTTGCCAAAATAGTTGTAGAATCAATTCTCACTTTTATAATTAGAGTGGAATCCCAATGTTCATTCGATCTTATCTCAAACGCACAAATCATTGCCCACTAATCCGTTAAATTATACATTCGACAGAACCTGAGGTCCCTTACAATTACTTCGCCTGGAACACGAGCCTCAGTATCTTTTAGATAGTTCTGTAATTGAAACTCATAATTCATCCACCCTTGCCTCTTTTCACCTGGATGGTGACAGCGGTGTTTCAATAATTTGGAGTAACCATATATTTTACAATATATGAAAAAAAAAATTATTTTAAAGTTTGTTTTTAAATTTTTAATCAATATTAATTTTCAATGGAAAGTGCAGTCTATGGATGAATTTTTTTCATGATATTCAAGTGAATTATAAGCGACTTATTCATAGTCAAATTTCAATAGATATATCACGTTAGACACCCGCGATATATTATATGTTCCAAATACTAATAAAAGTAAGTTAATAATACAGTGATATAGATCATGGGATGAATCACCCTTCATATACAAATAATTACCCAAATAAATAACAACTCAGCGAGATAGATCGTGCAGTGAACCAACCTACTTTTTTACACACACGTTTCACTTAGAAGATGAAACAACAATAAGACATAAGCAAAGCAGAGCAAGGGTGGAACCAACCTTTTTTATATAATAACTTTTACTCATTTTGTCCAATTACAAAACAAAAATCAGCGAGAACTTGGTGAGGAGTAACTAAATAGATTGAATCATCAATGTAAGAAATGAAATTAATGGTGGTGAAAATGTGAGCTCCATAATGTTACAATTGGTAAATGTAATCTTGTATTTCTTTATCCCCAAATCGTATAAAATGAAGCTTGGAATATGAGTGTGAGGATGCGGTTGAGTACATGCTGATTAGTCGCCGTAAATTACTTTTACTAAACAACAGTCGGAGTATCAAAAACACTCACGATAGGAGATCATGTCGATCACGTCCATTTATCAATTCAGATTTAATCAAAAACTCGATCTGGATCTATAAAAGTACAAACATGATTAAAACGAGGCATGAATGGCATATTAAAAACATAAAATGATAGATCAATCAGTGAGTTAAAATTACTATATAAGGAACCCCACTTCTGTGTAAAAGAACCATTCTAAACTTCTTTTCTTGAAGAACAACATCTAAAACCAAAAATGGCTTTGCAAAAGTTTCCTCTCATGGGGCTGCTACTGCTCCTAACCATAGTCGTCTCTGGGGCAACAGCTGACGGACCTGTTTGCCCTTCGTCCACCAAACTTAGCCGAGCAAGTTTCCCTGAGGGTTTCATATTTGGCACGGCAACTGCAGCATATCAGGTACGATATATAAGTTTCCATGCAAATTTCTTGACACGTAAGAAATTCTTTCATGTGTTATTTACACCTAAATAAAAGTTATCATTTATATTGTAATTTCTAATAGTGATCACACGTGCTAATTTATTCAATCTAAAGCCTTTTATTTACATCATGTGAAACATATGAAAGAATATAATACCAAAATTTGTTTTATTCATTAAGAAAACTAATTGAGAAGTCTTGTGAAGAACAAAAACGAGACCATCATGATTGAAAATCATTTTTATCATTTTCAAAAATTAGAAAATTATTAAATGTGTTTAAAAAATGAACATTATCAAATATCAAAAATATAGATATGTAAACAAGTGTGTTTCATGTATCATACTTTTTAAAACAGCATTCTATTTTCATTAAATATAAATTTTCGAAAACCAGAGTCCATTTTTCATTCTTTACTAGTTATTGAAAAGATGGTATCTTAATGATTACATGATATTAATTGAAAAAAAAACAGAAAATAAATCCATATATACATACTTCTAAACCCATAAACTCATTTCGTTATGCCATTTATAAGATTGAAGGTGGAGTGAATGAAACATGTCGTGGACCGGCCTTATGGGATATCTACTGTAAGAGATATCCAGGTTAGTCCCTCTACATTTCGTTTTCTTATCTCCTATAGGCTTACATTTTGATCTAATTAACTGATCTGGTTAATCTTTAAACATTAAATCACAGAGAGATGCAATGGCGATAATGGTGATGTGGCCGTTGACTTCTTCCACCGTTATAAGGTACATACTTACATGAAAAAAATAATTGATACGAACGTTTATAACTTGAGAAAATAATATACAAAGTATATAGTATTCTGTTGGGTGGTGTAATACTAAATGTTGAATATTTATCTCCTTTAAAAATGTTTGTACGTATACAGGAAGATATTCAGCTAATGAAGAACCTAAACACAGATGCCTTCAGACTCTCTATCGCGTGGACTAGAATATTTCCTCGTGAGTATATGTGCTTCCGACCACAAATTTAATTTCGTCTAGATAAATGAATTTGGTTTGCAAGTAAAATATGATGGTTAGAAAAAATATTGACGAAACAAAACAAATGTTTTACCAGATGGGAGAAAGGAGAAAGGAATTAGTAAAGCTGGTGTCCAATTCTACCACGATGTCATCGATGAGCTCATTAGAAATGGTAACATGTAGTTTAAATCATATCTTATTTGGTGAAGCATATAAACATAGAGAGAAATTTATTCGCTAGACAAATATTAATTAGCTACCTTCTTCATTATTTTCTGAAAAATATATACATTTTTATGTAATATAGGTATAGTTCCGTTTGTGACTGTTTTTCACTGGGACACTCCACAAGATTTAGAAGACGAATATGGCGGCTTTTTAAGTGAGAGGATTGTGTAAGTTAACGAATATTAATCTATATATTGAGGCAATTAGCAACAAGTAATGTGATAAATTAAATAACTCAATATTTTTTTTTCTTAAATGCAGGAAGGATTTCCGAGAATATGCAGACTTTGTTTTCCAAGAATACGGTGGAAAAGTGAAACATTGGATCACTTTCAACGAGCCATGGGTTTTCTCTCATGCCGGTTATGACCTAGGTAAGAAGGCACCAGGACGTTGCTCTTCCTACGTAGATTCTACGTGCAAAGGGGGAAGATCAGGGTACGAGGCTTACCTCGTCAGTCACAACCTCCTTAACTCTCATGCAGAAGCCTTTGAAGCTTTCACACAATGTGAAAAGGTAATTAATGTATATAAATCATAGGAATCACTTATTTCAAACTGTTTTACAATCGTTGTTTTTAAGAAAAAATACAAATTAGTTTTGTGTTTCTAATATGTTAACTATATATATATATATGGCCACAGTGTAAAGGTGGAAAGGTTGGAATTGCACATAGTCCGGCTTGGTTCGAACCACATGACTTTCAGGATTCACAAGACGGTGCATCCATAAACCGTGCACTTGACTTTATGTTGGGATGGTAAGCAGTATTTTTTAAATAGGTTCTTACATATATAAAAATTTCTTTTAACGAAACTTTCTTATTTTCTCTAGGCATTTGGAAACTACTATGTACGGAGACTATCCGCAGATCATGAAAGACATTGTTGGACACAGATTGCCCCAATTTACTACTGAGCAGAAAGCAAAACTGAAAAACTCAGCCCATTTTGTAGGCCTCAACTATTACTCGTCGATATTTTCGAACCATATCGAGAATCCAGATCATTCTAAACCAAGATGGAAGCAAGATTCTCTTATTTCTTGGGAGCGTAAGTTTTTATTTTTCTCCTTACAAATCATACGAATAAGTTTGTATTTGGTACTGATAAAAAAAAATTGATCTTCTTTTCAGCGAAGAATGTAGACAAATATTTCATCGGTAGCATGGTATGGATTTAATAACGAAAGTTAAAAGTTGGATTAATCTTTATATATTTGTGTTGACTATAATGTAATACTTTCACCTTTCGTTATATTTCAGCCTTCCACCGCTAAGCTACCCGTTTACGCAAGAGGTTTGAGAAGTCTTTTGAAGTACATCAAGGATAAATATGGGAACCCTGAAATCATGATCATGGAAAATGGTAACTAGAGATTCTGTCATATCATCATCGGTAGCTCATTTCATGTTTTCTTTATTAGGTTTCAAAAACAAATATTAAATAAATTAAACATTTTAGGATATGGAGAAGACCTTGGAGAAACCGATTCAGTTGCAGTTGGTACTGCTGATCACAACCGAAAATATTATCTTCAGAGGCATCTTTTGAGTATGAATGAAGCTATTTGGTAAGTCCTATTTATTTATCTTATATGATAAGCGTAACAATTATATCGAAGAATCTAATTAAAACATATTATGGCAAAACTGCAGCATCGACAAAGTGAATGTTACAGGATACTTTATATGGTCATTGTTGGACAACTTTGAGTGGAATGAAGGTTACAAGAGCAGATTCGGACTCTACTACATTGATTTCAAAAATAACCTCACACGTATTGAGAAAGAATCTGGAAAGTATTACAAAGACTTCCTAAGTCAAGGTGTTCGTCCATCTGCGATCAAGAGAGATGAACTTTGATCTACATGTTCTTGAGGATTTCGTTTCGTTTCGTTTCGTTTCGTTTCAATGTTTCGCGATCTTCTTTATAGTGTCTGTTTTAGTTTGTGATTGACCAAGATTCATGAGGTCTTGGTTAGAATAAAAGTGTTTTTCTTTATTTTCATCTCTCAATGTCTACACCTGATTCGATAAGCTCGAACAGGCCATGGAGTTATAAAAATATTATCAATTTGAAAATGTCGTATTATACATGTTTCAACCCTCTAATGAAGCATGAAGAAGAAATACCATTATATGATAGACTAATAGAAGAGTAACAAAAGTTGCGATTCAAAACGACAAAGACCTAAATGTCAACTCTCTAGAATGAAAATAAGAATGTACCAGTATGTAAGCACATAGAAATGGATAAGATAATATGAGTATACGTCGTTTAAAAGACTAGAAGCATGCATATATATATATATTTTTTTTAAGCGTGCATATATTGAATGCAAGAGATTCAAAAGTTATAATTTATACTCTAATCATGTGTTGTAAAATGCTATCGAAAATCTGTTATTTTAAACCTGACCCGAACCCGCAGTTGAACCGGTAAACCCAGTGATCCAGAAAAAATCCGGTTAAAGTTTTGTGAAAAACCCAAAATTTAAAAACCTGTCAAAACCCAATAAAATCTGAAATCTGATATCGGTTGAATCACCGTTTAAACCACCGGTTGAAACAATAAATGACTTTTTTCTTAACCTTATAAATTTATAATTATAATTTTAAAATATGTTTTGTATTATATTAAGGAATTAGGTTTTCAATTTTATTTTTGACGTCTTCCTCATGTTTACCTCTGCCTACTTTGTATACCTCTTTGTGTTTTGGGTTTTTGATTATTTTGTTTTATCATTAATATAGCTTTTTACATGTTTTAAGTTCTAGGATGTTTAAGTTTATTATTCTTGATATTATTTGTTAGATGTCATAAGTTTTTCAAAATTACAAAAAAAATTCTAGACTAAACTATTTTTTAATGTTTTATATGTCAAATAAAAATAATATATATTATTATATAAAAGAATTAATTAATTTGTTAATATGTGGTTCAATCACGGTCGATCTAATGACCCGGTGATCCGGGAATTCGTCCGGATCGGGTTTCAAAACATTGGGTTTATGAAAGGAATCATATTAATTTTCAATGAAAAGTGTAGTCTATAGATGAACGTTTTTTCATGATATTCAAGTGAAGTCCAAAGTATGGTCTTATATCCATATGGTCACACAAGTTTAGTTTCGTGGAGTATCTTGGACACGTGCGATATTATATGTTCCAAATACTAATAAAAGTAAATTAGGAATACAGTGATATAGATCATGCGATGAATCACCCTTCATATAAAATAATTACCCAAATAAATAACAACTCAGCGAGATAGATCGTGCATTGAACATACCTACGTTTTTACACACCTTACACTTAGGAGATGAAACAACAATAAGACATAAGCAAAGCATAGCAAGGGGTGGAACCAACCTTTTTATATAATAACGTTTAATTATTTTGTCCAATTACAAAACAAAAATCAGTGAAAACTTGGTGAGGAGTAACTAAATAGATTGTCGAGACTGAATCATGAATATACAAAATGAAATTAATGGTGGTGAAAATGTGAGCTACATAATGTTTCGAATGGTAATTGTAATCTTGTACTTCTTTATCCCCAAATCGCATAAAATGAAGCTTGGAATATGAGTGTGACGAGATGCGGTTGAGTACATGTTGATTAGTCGCCGATAAATAATTACTTTTACTAAACAACAGTTGGAGATCATGTCCATCACGTCCATTTATCAATTCAGATTTAATCAAAAACTCGATCTTGATCTATACAAAGTACAATACATGATTAAAACGAGGCCTGAATGGCATATATATTAAAAACATAAAATAAAAGATCAATCAGTGAGTTAAAATTACTATATAATGAACCCCACTTCTGTGTAAAATAACCATCCTAAACTTCTTTTCCTGAAGAAAACAACTAAAAGCAAAAATGGCTTTGCAAAAGTTTCCTCTCATGGGGCTGCTACTGCTCCTAACCATCGTCGTCTCTCAGGCCACAGCTGACGGACCTGTTTGCCCTACGTCCACCAAACTAAGCCGAGCAAGTTTCCCTGAGGGTTTCATATTTGGCACGGCTACTGCAGCATTTCAGGTACGATAGAGAAGTTTCCATGAATATTTCTTGACACGCAAGAACAGTTTCCAAGTGTTATTTACACCTAATTGTAAATAAACGTTATCATTTATATTGTAATGTTGATCATACATGCTATATTTATTCAATCTAAAGCATTTTATTTACATCATGTGAAACATATGAAAGAATATAATATCAAAAATTGTTCTGTTCATTAAGAAAGCTAATTGAGAAGTCTTGTGAAGAACAAAAACGAGACCATCATGATTGAAAATCATGTTTATCATCTTTTAAAAAAACACTATTAAATGTGTTTTAAAAAAAACACTATTAAATATCAAACATAAATTCTATATGTAAACAAGTGCGTTTGATATATCATAGTTTTTAAAACAGCATTCTTTTACATTTAATATAAATATTCAAAAACTGTAATCCATTTTTTTCATTCTTTACTAGTTATCGGAAAGATGGCATCTTAGTGATTACATGATATTAATTGGACAAAAAAAAACAAAAAATAAATACATATATACTTCTCTATATATCATTTCTTAAACCCATAAACTCATTTCGTTATGCCATTTATAAGATTGAAGGTGGAGTAAATGAAACATGTCGTGGACCGGCCTTATGGGATATCTACTGTAAGAGATATCCAGGTTAGTGCCTCTACATTCCGTTTTCTTATCTTGTCTAATGTCTAGGCTTACATTTTATCCTAATTAACTGATCTGCATAATCTTTAACTTTAAATCACAGAGAGATGCAATGGCGATAATGGGGATGTGGCCGTTGACTTCTTCCACCGTTATAAGGTACATAAATACATGAAAAAATTAGTTGTTACGAACGTTTACTTTGAAAAAACTATATCCAAAATATATATTATTTCTGTTGGTTAGTACATCACTGCTGTAAATACTAAATGTTGAAAATTTGTCTTCTTTAAAAAATGTTTGTACGTCTACAGGAAGATATTCAGCTAATGAAGAACCTAAACACAGATGCCTTCAGACTCTCTATCGCGTGGACAAGAATATTTCCTCGTGAGTATATGTGCTTCCGACCACAAATTTAATTGCGTCCTAAACGAATTTGGTTTGCATGTCGAATATGGTCGTTAGAAAAAAAGATTAACGAAACAAAACAAATGTTTAACCAGATGGGAGAAAGGAGAAGGGAATAAGTCAAGCTGGTGTCAAGTTCTACCACGATGTCATCGATGAGCTCATAAGAAATGGTAACATTTAGTTTAAAACTTTAAAGCATATATCTTATTTGGGTGAGGTTAATTCGAAAGACAATCAGTAATTAGTTACCTTCTTATTCTCTTAACAAAAATATAATTTTTTATGTAATATAGGTATCGTTCCGTTTGTGACTGTTTTTCACTGGGACACTCCACAAGACTTAGAAGACGAATATGGTGGCTTTTTAAGTGAGAGAATTGTGTAAGTCAACGAATACTAATATATATATATATATATATATATATATATATATATATATATATATATATATATATATATATATATATATATATATATATATATTGTGGCAACCAGTAACGTGATAAACTGAATACCTCAATATTACAAAATGCAGGAAAGATTTCCGGGAATATGCAGACTTTGTTTTCCAAGAATATGGTGGAAAAGTGAAACATTGGATCACTTTCAACGAGCCATGGGTTTTCTCTCATGCCGGTTATGACCTAGGTAAGAAGGCACCAGGACGTTGCTCTTCCTACGTAGATCCTACGTGCAAAGGGGGACAATCAGGATACGAGGCTTACCTCGTCAGCCATAACCTCCTTAACGCTCATGCAGAAGCCTTTGAAGCTTTCACACAATGTGAAAAGGTAATTAATGTATATAAATCATAGGAAATACTTATTTCAAACTGTTTTACCATCGTTGTTTTTTAAGATACAAATTAGTTTGTGTTTCTAATATGTTAACTTTATATATATGGCCACAGTGTAAAGGTGGAAAGGTCGGAATCGCACATAGTCCGGCTTGGTTTGAACCACACGACTTTCAGGATTCACAAGACGGTGCATCCATAAACCGTGCACTTGATTTTATGTTGGGATGGTAAGCAGTTGATGATATTGCCGTTTTAAAAAAAAAAAAAGTACTTTTAACAATACTTTATTATTTTCTCTAGGCATTTGGAAACTACTATGTATGGAGACTATCCACAGATCATGAAAGACATTGTTGGACACAGATTGCCCCAATTTACTACTGCGCAGAAAGCAAAACTGAAAAACTCAGCCCATTTCGTAGGCCTCAACTATTACTCGTCGATATTTTCGAACCATATCGAGAATCCAGATCATTCTAAACCAAGATGGAAGCAAGATTCTCTTATTTCTTGGGAGCGTAAGTTTTTATTTTTCTCCTTAACTTGAAATTGCCATGGCAACAAATCATACAAATAAGTTTGTATTTGGTATACTGATAAAAAAATTGATATTCTTTTCAGCGAAGAATGTAGACAAATATTTCATTGGTAGCATGGTAAGGATTTAATAACTAAAATTAAAAGTTGGATTAATCTTATATATTTGTGTCGACTATAACGTAATTAATACTTTCACCTTTCGTTATATTTCAGCCTTCCACCGCTAAGCTACCTGTTTACGCAAGAGGCTTGAGAAGTCTTTTGATGTACATCAAGGATAAATATGCAAACCCTGAAATTATGATCATGGAAAATGGTAAGTGGAGATTCTGTCATATCATCATCGTTAGCTCTTTTTCATTTTTATTCAGTAGGTTTCAAAATCAAATATTAAATAGATTAATCTTCTTAGGATATGGAGAAGACCTTGGAGAAACCGATTCAGTTGCAGTTGGTACTGCTGATCACAACCGAAAATATTATCTTCAGAGGCATCTTTTGAGTATGAATGAAGCTATTTGGTAAGTCCTATTTATTTTTCTTATATGATAAGAGTAACATTTATATCGAAGAATCTAATCAAAACATATTATCGCAAAACTGCAGCATCGACAAAGTGAATGTTACAGGATACTTTATATGGTCATTGTTGGACAACTTCGAGTGGAATGAAGGTTACAAGAGCAGATTCGGACTCTACTACATTGATTTCAAAAATAACCTCACACGTATTGAGAAAGAATCTGGAAAATATTACAAAGACTTCCTCAGTCAAGGTGTTCGTCCATCTGCGATCAAGAGGGATGAGCTTTGATCTATATCTTCTTGAGGATTTGTTTTCAATGTTTGATCTTTTATGTTTTAGTTTGTGATTGACTAAGATTCATGAGATCTTGGTTAGAATAAAAGTTTACTCTTTTCACGTTTCAATGTCTACACCTGATTTGACAAGCTCAAAAAAGCTTTGGAACTATAATAAAACAATCCTTTGGAGAACTTTATATGTCAAGTTACATCTTCAAGAAGACGCTTATAAACAGTGCTATCCGAGTTGATTTTGAAACTATGATCTGAATTTCCTCAAGGGTTTTAATCTGAGTATAAGACCTAATCAGTATTAATTCTCAAACCAAACATGATCATAATTCAAAAGCTTATTGTGATTGACAATGACCATAACTCCATAACTGATACTACATTGTAGTATATCATAATTGTTTGGATAATATATCTTAATCGATCTTTATTGTCTTGAGTATTTATAGATTTTAATTTTCAATGGATTTATAGTTTCTATTCACTTGATCAGATTCAGGGTTTATGTAAGCATTAGTGCGGTGCATGTAATATGTATGAGTTTTGCCGTTTTGGATCATCCATATGTTCGTGGCTAAGTATATGCATGTTGGTCATCGTATAATAATAGCATGATCTAGAGTTAACATATATATGTCCATCTTGTGGGGATGAAAGTCATACTTAGAGATTTGTAGCCTAACCAAAATCACCGTCTAGCACTTTGCATCGATTTTGGAAATTTGGAATATAGGAATAGCAAAAAAACAATAAATGAATGAAAAGAAACATATTACAGCATACATATGAATGAATCATCTTTGTATTTTTGGAATAGTGTATTTCTTAATTAACAAAACAAAAATAGAGGGTAGATCCATGTGTATTTTAACAAGTGAATGATTTCTTTATGTATGTGTTTATTTTTTAATTAGTATAATAATAATAATAATCACCAAAACGAGCGTCCCACTATAAACACCAGAGTTTCTATAGTTTTTTTTTTCTTTGCCAGACATGAGAGAAAACGATTTGATAACGATATTTTTGAAAAGTACAGTACTTTTTTCCTAAAACTAACTGTTATATTAAATTTAAGATGATTCATTGAAAATATGACAGGCCGAAAGTGAAGACAACACCCAAACAAATATATTATATGCTTTTTCTAAAATAAAATTCTGTAATGTTTCATGCTCAAATGAAGAAATCGAATGAAACACGCAACTATATTCTTTACAATACAACAAGGTGATACTGTTGACATTAATCGTATTTAAAAGAATATATATATATATATATTATTTTAGAAGTAAATTTAGTTAGTTATTATATTTTCTATAGTTATCTATTAATTAAAAATGAATTTCATTAATTTAATAATTATCATTATCTAAAAGTAATTTATACTTTGTTATAAATATATATTAACGTTAATGAATAATTATATTGTCATTATATAATTAACCATGAATTAAAAACAAAATCTCACTGATTTGAGAATCATCATTGTATAATAATAGTATATGTTGTGTTAAAAAATTATTTTACATTAAATTAACTTTCCTTTTTTTAAAAAAAATTATAAAAGATACATCCCTATATATAATGTATATAACATTAATGCATATAATAAAAGATAATTTTATTATATTGACAAACTTTATCATCATATGCAAAAAAACTAATATTTAATTTATTAGTAAATATTTCAAAAACTTTAGTGTTTTTAAATTTATATTATGTGATAAAAAGTATTTAAATAACGATAAAAACTTGTATATATAAAGATTTTATTGTTTAATTTTTATTAAATATTTAGAATGTATGAACATTAATTTATTTTTAATTTTATTTCAACTAATAATTTATTTATTTTAAAATATTTATAAATTTTATGCCTCTACATACGGTTAAAACATCTAGTATATATGTTGAATTTTTCAGAAGCATATTTTATACTTTGTAATTATGATATAAAAATCATAAGTGTTCGCTACAAAACATTACTAGTACTGTTCTTTCTTTTTAAAAGTATACAAATATTTCCCGGAGGCGGGAAGTTTTACCAAGAGAGCACTTTGGTCTTTCTCACATTGCCGGCGATGCGTTGGAGTTGCTTCAAGCCATGGCGTCGCTCGCCATCTGCGTCGGTTAAATCCACCGTCGTCGAAGAAATGGGTAAATTATCTAGTTTATCCCCTGACCATGATCAAGAACCTGGTAAGAAGCCGTTTTCGTCTGCAGATAATAACAACAACAAAGACCGCGAGGGAAGCTCTTCTCCGAGATTCCGTGAATTCACTTTGGAAGAGTTGAGTGTCGCTACTGAAGGATTCTCCGCCAGCAACATCGTGTCGGAACACAACGAGAAGGTTCCTAACATCGTCTACGAAGGGACGCTTAACGATGGGAAAAAGATCGCCATAAAACGGTTTCAGAAACTTTCATGGCCTGACGCTTCCGAGTTCATCGTGCGTCCATATACTTACTGATTTTAATCTCTTGTTTGATTGATTCTTTATGACTGTTTCATTTTGTTTGACTTTTATTGGTTGACATGTCTTGAATATGGCAATGTTCAAGATTCTGATCTATTGCACATGGAAGTTTTCTTGAATATGGCTTTTGTGTGGTTTTGTTTTCAGGAAGAAGCACAAGCAGTGGGAAAGTGTAGGAGTCAGTATATGGTCAGTTTGGTCGGTTGTTGCTCAGAGGGTCAAGAGAGGCTTCTCGTTGCTGAGTTCATGCCCAATGGAACGCTTGCAAAGCATCTCTTCCACTGTAATAAAGTCAACTTATTTTTTACATTACCGGATTTGGACACAACTAAATGAAACGTTTGGTCTTGGTCCCCAAAACTTTTTGAGATTTTTTAACATACATGTAGATCCCTAAATTATGAGATTTTGTTTTACTAAAGTTTTTAAAAGATATTTCAAACTCCCAAAATCTCAGATTCGGTCCTGCTTAGAGTTCTTGATCTTCTTAGGGTTAACTTACCATCAAAGTTTCATTTGTGTGTAATTAATAAAGTTGTATGACTGAAAAAATGTTTGTTTTCTTTTTGCAGGGGAGAAACGACCAATGAAATGGGATATGAGGTTGAAGGTTGCGGTACATACAGCGAAAGCCTTGGAGTATTGTAATGATATGGGAATAGATTTGTACCATGATCTTAACACCTACAGAATCTTATTCGATAAGGCTGGTAACCCTAGGCTGTCTTGTTTCGGTCTCATGAAGTGTATCAGAGAGGGTAAGAGTTACAGCACGAACTTGGCATTTGCTCCTCCTGAATATTTGCGTCAAGGTATGTTCTTTCAACAGAAAGCTTCTAAACTTCTTCAGCTGAAATACTCATTTAACTTTTTTATCCGTGACTTTGCTAGGTATTGTGATACCGGAGAGTAGCCTATTCAGCTTTGGGACCTTGTTACTGGATCTTATGAGTGGCAAACATATTCCACCAAATCATGTAATTTTCTTCTCACCAATTAATAAGTTTTTTGGGCTTCCTACTTAAAACCAATTGACAATTAGTGGATTGACACAAGTCACTTATATATTACTCAAGATGCTAAAGAAATCGCTAGGCGGTAACTAATCATTTAATATGCCATTATTGATTTTGATTAGGCGGACGCCTAGATCTGACCTTTGAACACTTAAAACCGATTTTTAAAAACATCTTTCATATTTTCTTAAGTCCGATTTGCCGCCTAAACCGATTTTTAGAATTATGCTTCTCACAGACCAATATATGTTGGTCATCAAAGTGTCAAGTGTCAATCTTGGTTCTTTGTTAAGTAGACTGTGAAGTGAATGGCATGATGTACAGTATCTTGAATAGTTCATTAATTTTTAGCTTATCTTTGTCATTCCAGGCACTTGATCTCTTCCGTGGCAAAAACTATTTGGTGCTAATGGATTCTGCTCTAGATGGTCAGCTATCTGATGACGATAGGACAGAACTAATCCACCTAGCATCTCGCTGTTTGAAGACTGAACCAGAAGGGAGACCAAGCTTAAAGCTTCTTTTGTCGGCTCTTTCAGGACTTAAGACTGTCAAAGGAGAAAACACCCCTGTAAGTCAGGACCACATTGGCAAATTGTTATGGTTAATAAGTTTTTTTTTTTTATCAGACTTTCTTATGCATTCATGAGACTTTTAAAATGTCAGGCTCCATCATACAATAAAACTTCAACAAAGCAGCCATCGCGCTTGACCCCATTAGGAGAAGCATGCTCGAGAATGGATCTAGGTGGCATACACGAACTGCTAGAGAAACTTGGATATGGAGAGGATGATGTTGCAGTCACAAATGAGGTATCTATATATATATGTTTGTAATAGACATTATAAACTCTTACATACCATTCAACATCTCATTCTGATTATGTCATTGCAGTTCTCATTCCAAATGTGGACGGGTGATATGCAAGAGAATGCTGATTACAAAAAGCATGGAGATGCAGCATTTCGTGCTAAAGATTTTGAAACCGCTATTGAATTCTACACAGAGGTATATATATCATTATGAATCATCAAGAAACCTTTTATTATATGTATACTAAAACTCTTTTTATGAACAGTTCATGAGTGGAGCACCAGCGGTATCACCAACAGTGTTAACCAGACGGTGTCTATGTTACCTAATGAGTGATATGTTCAGTGAGGCTCTAAGTGATGCGATGCAAGCTCAGGTTGTGTCGCCAGAGTGTTCAACCCCTCTCTACTTACAAGCGGCTTGTCTCTTAAAGCTTGGGATGGAAGCTGAAGCTAAAGAAGCACTTCAACATGGCTCGGCTCTCGAAGCTTTTTAGAGTTGCAACAACAATAAAACCAAGACTTGTACAGCTTCTTCTTCTTCCTCTCCATGCGTATTTAGAGATGTCAATACACACATATAGCATATAATTTTGTTTGTTTCTTTGGCTTTGTTTGTGAGAATCTTGATTTACCTTCAAATTTGTGTGCTAAAACCTGATCTTAACTGGATTGTTGATTTTTTTTTCTCCTTGGTGAAACAACAATCATGATACGGTAAACACAGACACCATACTCTATTTCATCATAACTATTCTCCTGGTTTCATAATAGATGATGTTTTAGAAGGTTTTTGTTATTTTGATAATAGATAATGTTTTGATATTTCTATGTTAACTTTAATAAAAACTGTTTAACCAATTAGATTACACATTTTAATTTTAATCGGTTGCTTTATTTTTGATATATACTTTTAAAAGTGGTTTTAAGAGAAGAATTAAAAATTTTAATCTTTGTGATTTCCTCCAAAACATTTTATATATAGTGAAACAAATGAAGTATAAAACTATTTCTACTCAGTTACATCATAACTTAGATTACAATCAAAACTTAAGTCCATTGAAACATTGGCATTGGTCCCAAAGAGTTTTAAACATTTTTACCATAGGTTCAAAATTTTGAATTTTTTTTATAAATATTTTTTTTATAAATATTTTTTATCATGCTCCAACTTATTAGACACCCAAGTTCACAACTCAGTTGCATATCACAAGCGCATACAAGCAACCAGAGCCGGTCTTGAGAACAAGCGAAAGAAACACATGCTTGCGGCCGCCATGATTAACTATTTAACCGATCACAATTTTTTAAAAGTTGTCACTAGTCTAATAATTAGGTACATTTTATTGAAAAGTCAGGTCGTTGGTTCAATGCACTACCTCGGATGCAATGTTTTTTCAGCCATTTTTTTAATTTGGGCTTGTGGCCTTAACATGCCTAGGACCGGCTCTGCAAGCAACCGCAAGAAACATTACTCTTTTTCAAACTCTGAACACACATATCAAAAGGTTACTCTTTTTCTTGTTTCTTACAGTTTACATTGAAGCCGACCAGTGTGATTGCACAGCTACGAGAGCCAGACAAGGCTCACAAGTCACAAGTCAGGTTCATACCTTGCAAAGGCTTGTTTGAGAAAAGGATCGAGCTGATTACACCACTGTAGGCGGAACGACTTGCCTGACACTGACAACTGGCTCTTCCCCTCCACTTCGGAAGTTGATTACTTTTGGGCCTTCATATGGCGGACATGTTGTTTTTGTTGGACCTGTTTAAGCCTTTTACTAACAAAAAGTCGACTTAAACCCAACAGTGTTATATTTGTAATGGATGCAACTCTATATATATACATATGAAAAGCAAACTGTTTAATGGTTGATCGTTAATGTAAAAAAGAACTTCGATCTCTACCCCAGAAAGGCGTCGCTTTATATATTTGATAAGTTAATTGACAATGAGATAAGGAACATTCTCTCAGCAAGAAGGTCCAGAAAGCACTTCGATTCCCTTATGATAATGTGGCTGAGATAATTGGTTTCTTGTAGGTTGTTTTTTATTTTCTTTTGCCAAGATGGTTCAGACTTAAGATTTTCTTATAACATCTTCTATTCATTATATGATATTTATAGTTTAGCAAAAAAAAAAAATGATCCATTGCATTCTTCTGGTTTTAGTTAACACAGTAAAATAGTAACAATCCTTTTATATAGTTTCTTTCAACGATCTTCCCACTTTTTTTTGAGATTGTTTCAATAATTAGAAACAAAATCTTCCACATTGAAATTGAAAAATAAATTAAATATTATATAAGATAAATTAATTAATTTTATTAGAGTCCCACATCGCTAATGTTGATGTTCCTTGGGCAATATATATGTGTATGGACAATCCTCCATTCTTGAGCTAGCTTTTGGGTGTGAGTTAGACATATCACTAATAAATTTAGTTATCACCAATTGATTTTAAATTAAAATTTTATTTAATTTAACATAATATCAGACTCTGATCCAAACGGTTCAACCCGATCTATGTTGATTTAGTCAAAAATTGATTCATCGATTCTTATTCGAAATTGGCTTTCAAAAATCATCATCATGAGATTCAAAATAGATAACAAATCCAATATAATCTCATGTATCTGTTATTTGTTTCTATTCCTTTGTAGCTGTAATGTTTCACGAGGAATTTGATGTTCGGTGTGGGATTGTTACTTCCATCGAGAACTCTTTGACCAAAATTAAAACCGGCATTTCTTTTTTGCTTTGTGTTTATAAATTGAAAAGTCAAAGATAATCCATCCATCCACGTATAAATGAGATGGCGAAAGCTAATAAAGAACAATGCTTGAGGTTTACATGAAACAGTCAGATTACTATGACAGAGAGCGACCTTCGCCTGATCACTATGGGTTTTCAAATATGGTAAGAACTGCCGTTTACAATGTACAAGACTTTCGAGATATATTAATGTAAACTAAGAATTCTGTTAACATTAATATCATAATTAAACTGTCGCTACAGTGAACAACACAGTAGTGACTTCGTAAAAGAATGATTAGCTGGAACAATTAGGATAAAGTGGAAAGAGTTGTCGCATCCAATGATATATATATATACCTAAAACAGATGATAGTAGAAGTAAATAGTTATATTATGCTCTTATATTATACATAAATGATGTTGACATAAAAATTATTATACAGAATACAGATATGATCTACACAAAATATACAACACGTTCTTGAAGGTGTTGTCAAGTTGACTAAGAGGCTTCCAAGTTTCAACTTGATGAAAACATGGACCTTGTCTATGCACGTACCAAAATTCTCCATTATTGTAATAAATATGTAACAAGTAGACGAATTAACATCTTACTGAATTTTTTTTTTATGAATTTGATCAGTCGTTGAAGGAACACTTCCACGATACTACAACTGTCATATAATTTGAGACAAACTCGATTGGCCTGTGTCTGAAGTGCGTCGCATGTATTGTTTTTGCATTTAAATAACATCTTTCTTTTGGGTGCAAATAGTAATGATACCTTAATTATGTCGAATGCAATCACCTTTGATAATCATGTGATTATTGCATATCTTTTAACTACTTACATTCTAAATCTGAAACCACTAACAACGAGTAGAAAGGGCCATTTGATGTTTTTTAGTTTCTATATTATCAATAATAAAATATTTTAAAATTGCTATTTAAAAAAAATCGATACTTCTTCTGATATACATATATATTATACTGCAAATGCATATTTCAAATTAATCACAGATATGTCGCTAAACTTATGGTTGATACTTAGGTATCAAATTAGATAGGTACCTATTTATTTTTGACTTGTAATTATAATTGTATTGATTTCAATAAAATGTAAGATTGTTTGTCTTGAGAAGCAAGCGTTTGGATGACTTTTGTTATTCTTTATAATATAATAAACCAACCAATGAGCTGTTAGAAATTTAGACAACAACATCTCTACTAACAGATTGAAAATTACCTATAGGTCTAGCTTCGGTAGCAACAAGTAGTTCAATATACACAAAACCGGAAAACCATGCACACACGTAGACAAAATTTGTTATGTACGTATAAGCACCTAAATAGTGATGTTAGAGAACTGTGGTTGAATTACATCAACCCATTTTTAAACTCATAAGTAGAATCGTTTTATAACAAATTCAGTACTAAGTTTATATATTTTAGCTATATATTATAGTATTCGCATAAGTAGGATCGTTTTATAACATTCAGTACTAAGTTTATACATTTGAGCTATATATTATTAGTATTCGCATGGTATTTATATGTGTATATATCGTACTTTTAAGCTAATTCCTGGACCCGTTTTTTCATTTTTCACGCGCAGTTCATAATGAAGGAAAAACGAAGGAACTGTTAAATATGAAAAAGTATGTGCACTAAATTAGTCTACGTTTTAATTCGATAAAAAAAGAAAAGCCGATCACAAAAATATCCATAAATAAATACAGAAAATATATCAATACCTATAAATAAATATCAATATTGTTCTCAAAAAAAATATCAAAAAATAAATACAGAAACACCCATATAGATCAATACCTATATTTTATAAGAATCGTGAATCAATACTTGTATAATGAAGCAGTTTATCTTAAACAACCCTAATTAACAAAGCGCGTTGTGCTTCTTCTTCTCAACATTACCATTTCGCACTCTATAAATTAAACAAATTAGTTCTCTCTTTGCTTCAAAATCTTTATAACTCATTTCTCGTTGTCTCTTAGCTCGCTTTCTGACGCTAGAGATGGACGGCGTAAAGGTTTCTCTTGCGTGCGCTCTTCTTCTTTTTGCAGTCTCTTCAATAGCTTCTGCAGCCATTGTTGAACACACCTTCAACGTAACCATGCTTCTCCCTCCTCTTCATTATCTTCAATATGTTCTTTGCATGCATCTTAATTATTAGAACTATCTATATCGTTTTATAAACCATCGGTTAATTATTTTTTTGTCGGTTCATATCATAACTTATAGCATGATTCTTATTTGAAAATCCGATTAATGTTTTTTTGCCGTATCATGTGATCATTTACATATTAAAGGTATGTTTTTATGTGAAGTATGAGTTTGTATTACCAACTAGTGACCAAGTGATCGTTAACGACGTGAGAGATACTTTAATTTTTTCCAGGTACAAAACTTAACCATGTCTCGGCTGTGCAAACGGCAAGTGATAACGGTTGTTAATGGAAGCCTGCCTGGACCAACGGTACGCGTCAGGGAGGGTGACTCGCTCATTATACACGTCATTAACAATTCTCCTCACAACATCACAATTCATTGGTATTCATTCACTTAAATTCTTTTATTTTATTTTTGACAAAATCATTGGCTTTCAATTAATTAATAGACCACTATATATTATATTTGCTACTACTTAAATTATGCGTGATTTCGTATTGGTTTTCTGACTTTACTAGACGCTAGCTTTTCACAGTTCCTCAATTAGCTGT